AAACGTGATATCTATGTTTGAGAAAGAGCCCCTTATGAGGGAAAGAAATACCGACTTATTTTCTGATTTAAAGATAACACTACTAACCATCTTTGGATTAGAAATTGTCATCCTCAGGATTAGATTTTTTGTCCTTTATACTAAACCCTTATTTTTACCTACCCTATTTATCTTATTTAGACCCTTTTACCCTTATATCCTTTTTTAAAAAATTAACCAAAATATGAATTTTATCACTTTAAGTTTAGCCGTATTTGTGGGCAGTTATGTTTTACCGGAAATATTTGTCATCTTAGGCAGTGTGCTAGGTTTGGCTTGAATTGCTGAAAAAAAGAAATAGAAAGATAAATATTTAGAAAATTATGACAAAATACACTATAAATCAACCAGCGGGAAGAAGAGGAAAAGGATCTAGAAGTATTGGAGCAGGCTCTGGTGAGTTCACTAATGCTCAAGACTTAAAAAACAGATTCTGAAATAATGCCGCAAACCGCAGGAAAATGGGCGATAAAGCCCATGGTGATGCCGCTTATTGAATTAATGGAATGTGCAATTGAGGCGGAGAACATTATTTGCAAAAAGACTGTGAAGAGTTAGCAGTTTTCTTTAATAGCATTGCCAATATAGACAATGATGTTCAAGAATTGAAATTGTCAGTTAATGAGCAAGAGTTTAATACCAGAAAGAGTAGACTGATGAATAAAATTCAGGAATGTATCAATAAATGTCAAGTTTCAGACTCTTACTCAATAGCTAGTGTCTGCTGTATATGGAATGATTATTTCGGAACTTTTCTTAAGAAATTCTTAGACAAATTTCAACAAAAATTACAATCTCATCTTTCTACTATGCGAACCATTACTCCTAAGCATCAAAGAGAAATTCTAGAACTAGAAACTGAAATTAAAGGAGCTGAAACTAAATACAATGATGCCATGACTAAGGCTGCTACTGAAACTGATCCAGTTAAAAAAGCCCAATTTATTGCTACTGCTCAAGCAGCCGAACAAACCATTAGACAAGCCAAAGTTAGACTTGCTAATAATCCTTTATCTAAATTAGCACAGTATAGTTATTTAAATGATCTAGGAAGATTTATTAATGGTAATATTGGCGATACTAATCCTGACCCAGTAAATCTGCCAGATAATACATATGTAGATCCTAGCGGTTCAGGCACTGGCTCTAGTGGTGGCAGAGGTAAAGACCCTACTAGCGGAGGATGGACTTCCTGAGGTGGTGGTTCTGGTTCTAATAATCAACAATCAAATAGCCAACAGCAACTGGTAATTTTTGCGGGCATTGCTGTTCTAGTAATCTTTTATCTCCTAAACCAATCAAAAGACTATGACTAATGAACTACTAATTAAAAAAACTCTAGGCGAGACCACCGAGCAAATCGAAGCCACAGTTACTCCTCTTTACACTAATTTAGAATCCTGACAAAGAGGTCTAATTTTAATGGCTCTGGCTATTTTTCTCCTTTTTGCTATTTATCAACTAGTTAAATCTGAACCAAAGATATCTGCTAAAAAAGAAGCCCAAGTAGAGGAAAGACTACTAAGACAAATGGCTTTTTTTAAACGACTAAAAGAATAACCCAAATTCATGTATAATATCGACCATTACTTCGATTTCGATTCTCCTCCCAAATCAGTCATTAAATCTAAGAAAAAGAAACAGCAACACCAGCAAATGCTCCTTTTGCTTTTATTAGCAGTTGCTGGTGCTTATTACTTTATGATTTATTTACCCGAGGAAGAAAGGAAGAAATTAGAGACAGAAATTCAGAAAGAATTGGATGAGGTTAAAAATCTAAAGAAAGATGATTACGATAACATAGAAAAATCACTAACCACTTTACAAAGCTACTTATTATGAAAAGATAGCACTGAAGCTAAAAAACTAGCACTAAAAAATAAAAAAGAAGCCTTAGATGGTGTCATTAAATGATTACAGGAAAACCAAGAAACTCCTGAAAAGACACAAAATAAATACTTTTTAAAAGGAAGGATTTGAAGTTTACCTGTCCACAATTGAGCCGACCGCGAATTAAGAAAAAGTGCTACTTATTTGACAAAAGCTTATGGAGATGAAACGGCAAGTTTTCCTGGAGGAGAGAAAAATGATGAATTCTACTTTACTCGATCGGCTAGTTGAGATATTTATTTTCCTCCCTCACTAAGGACACATCATGAAAAAGGAAACTCGGTAGGAGAACATAGTGAAATATTAACTGAAAACGAAGACCTAATTTTGTCTAACAAAATACTTGCTTGATACAATCAGGTTAAAAATGATCCTACTAGAGGAACTATTGAAAAGGATAATAATGCTCTCTTTTATGGTAAAACAGGAACAGGTAAATCAGCCACCTTAAAAAAACTTTGTGTTGAAGTTAATAAGTGTCCTCTAGTGACTGTCAAAGGTTCATCTTTAACTCCTACTAAACAGGATTATGATGCTAGTTTTGGTCCTTTACAAAAATTTATCTACACCATTAGTGAATTGGAATGAATACTAGTGAAGAATTTTTGTTTACCACGAAAAACCAACGGTGAAGTTCATTACATCCTTTTTGTCGATGAAGCTGACCAAACCAGCAATAATATCCTTCTTCATGACCCTAATAAGTTACGATATTTAAAAGATTGTCTAGAAGGAGGAAAAACTAGTAGAAAAAAAGAGAGCCAAAATCTGTGAATAATGGCTACTAATCATTTAAAAGACATTGATGAAGCAGCCTATCGGAAAGGAAGACTAAGTAATCCACTAGACTTTAGTTGAAATTGAAACGAGTTCAAAAAACATTTCGATAGAGCCAGAAGTAATCCAACTAAATACAAATTACCTAATTGGTTTAGTATCCCTGATTTGCCTCAGAGATGAAGAGATGATAATACTTTAAATGAAAAAGATAATAAATTAATCAATAAATTTAACATTGATAATTTCGTCGAGGACTTTCTAGGATACGACCCTAAACAGCCTAGTAAACAAAAATTCTGACAGACATTTATTACTAATAATCCTGATGCCATACTAAAAACTGAGATCATGAAATTAGATGAAGAAGGTAAAGAAACTAATGAATTAGAAAGAATAGATGAGAGAGAAATTGAAGTTGGAGAATTTTTTCAATTCTTTTGGCAGAAGCAAGAAAGTTCGGAATTAGATGCTTATAAAGATGGCAAATTTGAATCACCTCGAATACCAGAAACGTCTGAAGTGTTAGCTGATAATTTGCCTAATCTAGCCGAGATAGCTAGACTTACTTCTCTATCCTCAAATGCCCTGTCTCAATCATTAGAAAACATTGCAGCAGAAATAGAGAATATTGGTAATAATCTTGTAGATTATGCTCAAAACAGCAGTATAACTGATGACATCCGCGAACTCCGTCAGCAACTAGCAGACTTATCCAAAGAAGTATATAGAAGATATTAAAAATATGAACCAAAAAATAACCCAAATCGAAACCAAAATCAAAGAAATTAACTCCACCCTATCCCTCTGAACCAAAAATATTGAGACCTACCGTAATCAATTAAAAGAATTAACCAAACAATTAAAACTAATCAAAAAACAACTCAAATAATATGAAATCAATCACAAATAAAGTCCTTAGGACTATAAACAGCAAATAAATATGTCACTCTGAAGTTGAATAAAAGAAAATACAGCCACAATTATCGCTACTACTGCTGTCGCCATTGCTACTGGAGGCACCTCCTTAGCAGTCCAAGCCGCCGCCATTGGTGGTGCCTACTTATTAGGTTCAGCCATGGATGATGATAAAAAGAAAAAAGAGAATGAAAATAAACAATTAAATCTCAAAGGTGAAATATCCAAGCAAATAAAAGAAGAAATAGGTAATTTACAAAATGAAAGAAGTAATGAAGCCAGTCAATTGAACACATTGGATCAACAAATTTCCCAAAAACAATCTAAACTAAATGACCCTAACGTTTCTGAAACTGAAAAAACTCAAATCAGAAGTGAACTTGCTTCTCTAGTCTCCCAAAGAAGTAGTAGTCAAACTAGAATAAAAGGATTAGATGAAAAAATAGAAAGTTTGATAAAGCAAGGTAATAAAACAGTAACTGGTGGAGGTGGTTTATCCTTATTAGAAATGGATCACAACACTAAGTTAATAATCGGAGCCATCATCTTTTTAGTAATTTACTTTACTTTTGTTAAAGAAAAGGAGAAAGATTAAATAAAAGAATGCGGCACAGTATGGTTTTTGTATAAAATTGTAATATAGAACAAAAACAATTGTTATGAACATGGACAGTAGCATAGTTAAACTAATGAGAATTCAGTCTGCATCAGCTAGTGAAAAATGTTGCTTTTGTGATAAAAAGGTTTGGGAGGTTTCTTCTCTGCATCACTGAATAATCGACTACAAGAAAAGTCCCAATTGAAAGTGAGGAGATACAAGGGAGGAATATGCTTGCCTTGATTGCGGTAATGAAATCAAAGAAAAATTTGCTAAAAAAGTTGAGGAAGAGAGACAAAAAAACGAAAAAGAAAGAGAATCATTAATAAAAGAGAAAGTTAATAATTGTTTTGCTGAACTCAAAGAACTAAGAGAAGAACTAGGGGAGAAAAATGTAAAGGAGCATTTAACTGCCACCGATTGCCAAAGAATTTTTGCTCTAAAATCTAAAATTACTCAAATACTAACTGAAAAAGGAATAGAAAATTATAGTGATTACTGAATGGTTAAAACAGATTTTGACTTGCTAAAAGAAAGTATCAATGATTTAGATAAATTAACCAAAGAGTACCCTTCTCCTCAAAATCAAAACAAATTAAGAAACAAAACAAAACGAAAATCTTCAAGGAACATTCCTGAAATAAAGGATTCAAAATGTTTTCATAGAAAAATTATTTCTTTTGGTGATAACCTTTCTTTATATCATTGCTCTTATTGCTGAGACACCGATAGTCAGAAATTCCTTAAGAGATTACAGCATTGGCATATTTCCAACATTAACAAAAGAATAAGGGAAAACGGCATCTCTACAACCAAATTTGTTAATAATCCTAACTATAGTAAACTGCTCAGTAATAACTTTACTAACCAAGAAGAAGTTAAACAAGTTTACAAACAAGTAGAAAAAGACTTACATGCATTTTTAAAAAATAAAAATATTGATATAAATAATAATAATTTTAATATAAATATAGATATAAGAGGAGAGAGAGAGAGAGAGAGAGAGAGAGAGAGAGAGAGAGAGAGAGAGAGAGAGAGAGCACATCCAGTCTCAACAATCACAATTACTTTCAGAAATCATGCAATTAGAACAAAATCCTACTAATTCTAACAGTCAAGAATTAGACTCTAAAAAACAGCAACTAAAAGACTTAGAGACTCAATCTAAAGAACTAATTAAATTTTTACCAATTGAAACTCAAATTACTATCTTACAGAAAGAAATTCAAGTCCTAACTAGTAAATCTACTAAAACTAAGGCTGAACAAACTATTTTAGAGAGTAAAAAGCAAGAATTAGCAGAATTACTAAAAAAACAAAGTAATTCTCATGTTAATAATGCTAAACCTACTGATAAAACTGCTTTAATTGTTGGAGGAGGAATATTTATTATCTTCACTTTACTTTTAATCTTAATTCTGGCGAGGAATCACCAAAAAAAAGAAAGTTGAAGAACTAATTGGTAAATATGATGAATTAAATTTTAACACATAAAAACAAAAAAAATTAATTGCCTATGGTCATAACAACAAAAATAACAAATTAGCATATTAAAATCATCACTAACTAATTTGTTATAATTGACTTAATTGTCTTGTAGTGGTTGTAAACAAATAAAAGAAAATAATAAATAAAAATATAGAAAAATATGGTAAATGCACAAAAATGATTGGATAAAAGGTATCCAAAAAGAGTAATTATTAAAAAAGAAAGAGAAAAAATAACTTGATTGGATATAAGAAACGAAAACCTAGAAGGAGATTTAGACCTCTCTGATTTTATTAGTTTAAAGGAATTAAATTGTTCTAATAATGAATTAACTTTCCTAAATCTTAATAAATGTTTCTATTTAACTAAACTTTGATGTAGTAATAATTTACTAACTAATTTAGTTCTGCCTAACGATCCAATTAATTTAAAAACATTATATTTGGGCAACAACAATTTTACTTCCATCCAAAACCTTTCTTTTTTGGTTCCAGTTACTAATTTAGAGGAACTTAGACTAGGGAATTATGATTACTCTTGTTACGATGATGATAGTGAAAGCGAAAGAGTCAAACAAAGAATTTCTCAAGGCATTTATAATAAGTTCACTGGTTCTTTGGATTATTTAAGCAACATGAAAAAGTTAAAGGAACTTAATGTTAGTAATATTGATGTAAATGAAGTCGATTTAGATAAATTGCCTGATAGTTTAGAGAAAATTTTTTATTCAACTAAGGAAAGACCAATAAGTAAAGTAAAAGAAATTTACTTTCCATTAAAATTATCTATTAAGTGAAAGTATTGGAGAAGTCTTGACTTTATTAAAGAGGAGGCTATTCAATGAATCCAAACTGGAATTGGAACAACAGAAGATTATAATTTTATTGCTTGATTAAGAGATATCCAAAAACTAGATCTGAAATGAGCCTTAGATAACGAAGAAGAGTTTAAAGAATTGAGAGATAAATACAAATACTTTGGAACCTGCAAAGAATGTAGTCAGCCTAATGTTGGACGGAATTGATGTCAACCTTGTAATGCCAAACATTGGCAACAGCACAAATGAACTAGCGGTAATTCCGCCATTGATAAATTCATCCATAAATATCAACTAGAAGCAACCGATTCCTGAAATATCTTAGAATGAATACCTTATGAACAGTTTACTAATGCCGAATTTTTAGCCAAAGGTGGTTTTGGTGAAGTATATAAGGCTCAATGAACTAATGGACCAATTAGGGAATGAAATAATGAAAATAATCAATGAAAGAGAGGCGGGAATAAAGAAGTTGCTTTAAAAAGTTTAAATAACTCCCAAAATGTAAGTGCTGAGTTTTTAAGAGAGATTGCTAGTCATAAATTGTTTAAGGATGAACTTTCTGGTATTGTGCCATGTTATGGTATTTCTCGTGATTCCAAAGGAAATTATGTAATGGTCATGGAATACATGAAGGAGGGTAATTTACGACAATATTTACAGAAGAATTACCGAGAATTAAGTTTTAACAACAAAGTTGAACAATTACATGCTATTATTAAAGGGTTGAAAGATATTCACCGGCAAAATTTAGTTCATAAAGATTTTCACTCTGGTAATATATTGTATCCACCTTGCCGAATTACTGACTTAGGGTTGAGTAAACCAGTTGGTGAAGAAAAAAGAGGAGAGAAAGTTTTTGGAGTAGTACCTTATGTAGCTCCAGAAGTTTTACAAGAAAAACCATACACGAAAGCAGCAGATATTTACTCTTTCGGCATGATTTCCTATGAAGTGTTGACTGGATTAACTCCTTATCACGGTTCAGCACATGATATAGGTTTGATATTATCTATATGTAAAGGAAAGCGACCCAAATTTCAGATCAAGATACCATTGTTATTAGAAGATTTGATTAAGAAATGTTGAGATGATAATCCTTTGAATCGTCCTAAGGCTGATGAAATAAGTAAAATTTTTGACAAGTGGCATAAAGAAATTAAAGATGAGAAATCTGAATTTACTCAGCAAGTTCAAGAAGCAGAAAAATCTAATCAAAAATTACTAGAGGAGGTAAGATTTCCTAGCAACAAGTTACACGCTGGAGCATTCTTGACTAGTAAACCTATTAATACTGGGCAAATTAGCAAACTCTTATTTGCTTCAAAAGACATAGATTTAGACCTTGAAATGATAGAAGAATTTGATATCAAAGATAATGAACAGGATGAACAGGATGAACAGATTGCTCAACAAGCAATCCCACCTAAATAAAAAAGGGGAGTCTAAAAAACTCCCCTATCTAATAAGTATTTAGTCTAGAATATCCATTAAACAATTCCCTCTTATACAACTACACCACCCTTAAAAAACTCTTCTAAAACTAAGCATTTTATCCAACCAAACTTATTCTAACTCCTTCAATAACTCTTTACATTTTTTTACAATCCTCTCATTTTTGACCTTTTGAGCTTCAAAATCTTGAATTCGAGGATTATTAATACTAAGAACCTGATTAACCCGCGTTAAATCATCTCTTAGTAGTACTAATTCTCCTCTATTGCGAAAATCTCCTTCTGCTAACCGGAAAGTTAACTCCTCTTTTCGTTTAGTTCAGTAATATAAATATTTATCACTATGAGCAGAAGTAAAAC